CCGGGGGGGGGGGGGTGGGGGGGGGGGGGGCTGGGCGGGCTCTACCTGGGCACTGGCAGGTGGCTCTTCAGAAGTGACCAGAGGTACTGTCTCCAGCCAGAGTTCTGGGGAGCTGCTTGAGCTCCTGCCCTCGTCCTGCTCGACAGAGGCTCCTTCTGCCCACTCCTGGGGGCCCATATCCCCCTCTGGGTCATCAGGGGGCTGCAACAGGCGAGGAGCAGGGTCCGGAGGTTCCTGGGGACCTGACTGGGAAGGAGGGCGTTCGTCTTGCTGCAAGAGGCTCAGCAAGTCTTCCCGGCCGGCCTCGGCGGACAAGAGCCCATGGGCATCGGTGATGTCCTGAGAGGCCAGGCCATGGCCAGTGGCAATGTGCAAGGGGCACGGGGGTCCGTCTGGAGACAGGCCCACCAGATCACCTGGCAGAGCTTCAAACTGTTGCAGCAGGTCCTGAATATTTAGCCCGTCAAGTTCCATCTGACTCAGGCTGCCGCGGCCTCCTGGTGCCGGGTCCCACGGGCAATCAGGGGTGAGGTCCTGAGAGGGTGAAAGTGTGTCCCTGGGCTCCTCCAAGTCCATGGCTGGAGGTCCTGGAGGGGGTTGGGAGGTTGTCAGGAATTCCATGCCTGGACCCTGGGATCAAGCCAGCATCTGAAAGAGAGAATCAAAGATGAGATTTCCTGGTTTCCAATTTGGTACCAGGCTCTCACCTGGTATGTATTCATACAGGACACATAATTTAATCCCCATCATACCCCGCAAGGAAGGTTCTGCTATGATCCTCATTTTACAAACGAGGAAACTGAGGTGCAGAATGAGCAGCTGTAAGGCTGTGGCTTCCCAGGCTCCAAACCGCGGGGGATTCCCCTGTACCCGTTGCTCCAGACCTCTCCCCATCCGTGGACCCTGTTCACCCCAGCCCTGGTTCTTCCAAGTCTTCCTCCCCGGAGATGTGGAGGCTGGAGACATACTCTGACTATATAGACCCAACCGGTGTAGGTCGCCGAGACACAGGACTCAAGACCTCAGTCCAAGACTTGAGACCCAGAATTTCAGACTTAATACTACAGTTCCAAGATGCCAGAAAGCGGACTCTCATCTCAAAACCTCCAATGCCACCCTCAAGATCGACCCCAGACTCAGACCCCAGACTGAGGCCCACTCAGACCCAGCCTGAAGACACAACTCGAGCCTAAAGCTGAGTTAAGACCCCAGTCCTCTAGCGGACCCCAGACTCAAGACTTCAGACCCGTGACCTCAGGCGTTGGCTCCAGACCTCGCTCTGCTCCGCCGGCACACTCACTTCCCAAACCGAGGTGGCCTCAACCCGCGCGGCCCCCAGGACCCCGCTCCCTGGCTTGTCGGGTCCTGCCAGTCGCCGCCGTTCGCCAATTCCCGGACTGGGCGCTGGCAGATCTGTCCGCGCAGCGCTCCTGGACCACTGGGCATGCGCACACCCGCGGGGCTTGCTGGGAAATGTAGTTCTCTCAGCCAGCCTGGCCTCGCGGGGGCGCTAGATGTTGGGGCCGTGAGTTCGAATCCCGAACCTTCATTTACGCACAGTGAAAGCTCGGGCTGGCTTCTGAGCCTGTTTCCTGAACTACAAAGTGCGGTTTAAAGCCACTGCTTGACTGCTACGGCTTTGCTCATTATTCCAAGGGATGGCGGATGGGAAGAAATGGGACTGGAAAATACTAAAGGAGCGTGAAAGGCGGACTCTTTCGACTCCAGGGACACCGGAAGCGACGCGGGGACCATATTGTAGACAGACCTCCGGTGTGGCACTCAGTAGGGCGGCCGAATGGCTCGCCTGGCTTAACTTTACCTCCCTAAACTTCCGGCTTCCTCAGTTGTAAACTGGCGATAATAATAGCACCTACCTCCTAATTAAACGAAATCGAGCTGGTTACAGATTTAGCAATAGATTTAGAAAATAATGAGCCTAATAATAGTGTTAACTTTTATTAGTTTTAGGTTTTCAGTAATTGCTCATTGACTAGAATCAAGGATGTATAAGTTGTGATGCTTAAAGTAAGTGATAAGTAACTGAAGGTCAAGAAGTCGGACATCCTTTGGAAGTCGCCTCGTGCAGTACCTGGGGATATCTACAAAAGTTTAAAGAAATCACAATTAACGTACGCTTACGGCCGGAATAATACATTTCCCATAAATCTCTAGGAGCCTACAACTCCCAAGCACCCCTCGGCCGCAGACGTCCTCCGGAAACGTGCACGTGCAGGCGGCTGGGATACGTCATGGCGGCCAGGCGCCTCTTAGGTGCTACGTGGAGCTCGGCCGGCTGGCGGGTTCGGGAGCTCCCGGACCCCGCCGCTTCTGTAAGACTCCATGTACGAGATTATGCCAAGAGACCGGGTGAGCTGGGTTAGGAGGGACCAAGATGAGAATGGTAGGGACATTGGGGAGTTGGTAGTGCGCAAGCGCTGGTTGGGGAGGCACGTCCTAGAGTCAGCGCGCAAGCGTAGAGGCTAAGCTGTTTGCGCAGGCGCAGTTTGAGGTACCTAGGGCGCGATTGGACTCAGTGCGCAGGCCCAAGTGTTTTTTTGTTGTTGTTTTTTTTTAATGTGGGGGCGGGGGTAGGAGTAGGTCATGGACTTGGGTCCCTATGACGTTTCTGCTTCCAAATTAGTCACCTTTGGCAGGTTATCACCAGAAATTGGGGCCCATCTAAGTATTAAAACCAAAACAAGGTTATTTAAATTTTCTCTGGATACAGCCTTGCCCGATCTCCTTTGTTGAAAGGAGGGATTTGGCAGACGTGAGGTTTTAAAGACACAGAGCAGCCAGCGGAGGCTCTTTTTTCGTGAGATAAACAGAAGGAATGAAAATGGGATTGAAGAGGAATGACTTGGTTACTCTGAATATCAGTGTCATTTAATCCAGTATCCGTGTCCCAGTTACAATCATTTTGAATGCAGCAGACAGGGTCCAGCCAGGGCAGAAAGGGACGACTGGCCTCCCGAGGGTGGAGCTGGGCTGAAATGATTCTCCCCCACCGTAGTCATTAAGGGGGGCAAAGGCGCTGTGGTCGGTGAGGCCCTGAAGGACCCAGAGGTGTGTACAGACCCCATCCGGCTCACCACGCACGCCATGGGTGTCAACATCTACAAGGAGGGCCAGGATGTGGTCCTGAAGCCGGATTCCGAGTACCCAGAGTGGTGAGTGTGCCAGGACTGGGTAAGGAGGGCCTGGCTAACCAAATCTGAGGATCTGGGAGGGCTTCCCTGGGGAGGTGGTGTGTGAGTCGACCTGAGTGGGTGGACAGAGCTTTAGAGGTGGGCAGGAACAGCCAGTGCAAAGGCTCCAGGCAGAACTGCACCTGGTTTCTTAGTGGACCCCGGGAGGCAAGATGGAGAGTAGGGGAGACAGGGCAGGAACTTGATGGAGCCCAGCTTTCAGGGGGCTGCAGGGGGAATTTTGCTCTTGGCCCTGAGAGCAGTGGCAGGATGCAGAAGCTGTTGCCACGTGACAATCCTTCAAGCTGGGGAAGGTTTAGAAAGGTTGAGCGAGTGGGTGGGGAGGCCTTACAGGTGGGCAGGCGGCACAGACAAAGGCCAGGAGGCAGAAGGTTCGGCGTGCGCCCACCTCAGATCCCAGCACCCTTGGGATAGGGGCGCTCCGTTGTTCCACAACACGGCACCCCCTTGTTCCATGTCCTCAGGGTGGGGAGGGACTGCCCTAAGGTCAGGGGGTCTGGGGTGGGGGAGCCGCGGGGAAGGGGGCTGCTCTGCAACCCCGACTCTGCCCACTCCCCGTCAGGCTGTTCCAGATGAACGTGGGTCCCCCCAAGAGTCTGGAGGAGCTGGACCCTGAGACCCGGGAGTACTGGCGGCTGCTGCGGAAACACAACATCTGGCGCCACAACCGGCTGAGCAAGAACCAGAAGTTCTAGCGGGAGAGGGGCCAGAGCACCCTGACCCTCCAGTGACCTGGAGGAGATGCGGTGGGTCGGTCGGGGGGTACCTCCCCCAGCCCACCCCCTGGACTTTGTATTTTCTGGAAAAACAGACTTCTCCAAAAACAGAGGAGACTACCACCCTCACTGGGGTTACTGGGTGGCCCCTGCATTGAGGCTGAATCAGGGCCCTGGGGGCCAATAAAGACTTCTTGGGGCAATTGCTGGCAGGCTCCAGATGCCTCTGGGTGTTGTCGTACGTCAGGGCCAGGAGGGACTTGGGGGAGGCAGTGGGGAGGTGGGCACTTTGGACCCAGTGGTCCCATGGCCCAGCCTCCACCCTCAATGATTGCTGGGCGTCTGCAGGTCCATCTTCCCCTCCCGGCCTCACTGAGCTGCTCACCCTCATTCCTGGAATTCCCAGTGTTGCCCAAGAGGCCCCAACCTCCATCCTCGAGGGGGAGGGTTTTCTAGCCAAGCCGCTCTGGGTTGCACTGGACTCATACCTGAATCAAGTCATCCGGAGCAGAAGAGTCTTTGTGAGCTTCAGGAACTGAAATGTCCAGGGGTACGGTCTGACCTCAGGCACGGCTGGATCCAGGTACTTCAGTATTCAGCTATTTGGCTCTCCATCTCTGGGTCCTTTTAACTCCTCGGGCAGGAGTGGCTCCAGGGCTTCTAGCTGACACCCCCTATCCAGTTCAGCAAGCCCAGCCCGAAGGAAGGGACTTCTCATTCCTTTCTGTCAGGGTCGCAGGGGTTATCTTCATTGGCCAGTCACTTGAGCCGAGGGACCTGGGCCTACTCATCATTCGCCTTTCCATCCACCACCACTGGTGCCCACCAGATTGAAGGAAGCTGGAGGACACACACAGTGCCAGGACCACACTGCTTGGGGGCCTGGATCAGGGTCCTCTCGCCCTCCAGGCTCCTCCAGAGCTGGACAGGTAGGGCAGGGCAGGGTCCCCGAGGCTAATTCTGTCTGGTCCCAGGAAAATGAGGGCCCTCATCCGCTTAGGAGGACTCTGCCAGGCGGATTACCCCACACCTGCCCTCGCTGGTGGCCTGTTCTGGGAAGGCGGATCGTCCCAACCCTCCCATGGTTCCCCATGGCTCTCGGTTAAAACAGAAGTTGTAATGGCCACGGGCCTCCTCACTGTTCATCCAACGTGCCAAGCATGGTGCTGCCCCTGGGCCCTCTGCCTCCGCCGCTCTTC